ACACTTCCTCAGTCTTTTCTCAACATAAAGTGATTTTAGCCCAAAACTCTGGCAGGAAAGGTGGAGGGCGTTGAGCTTTAAGGAGGGCCAGGCCTTTAACCTGCCGCAGGCGTGCCCGTCTTGTTTCAGCCGAGCAGCAGCAGCCCCGAAAGTTTGAAGGCCCACCTACGAACAGGACAATTTGGATCGTTTCCATCAGCTTGAGTCAAGTCCTTGAGCACGTTTCCAAAAGACTGTGCCAAACCGAGCCCCCCCCCATTAAAAACCAACAGGAGAGCAAATGATTGGGAGTGAATTTGTCCCGGCAGTGACGGATGGTTGCAGGTTGAAGATCCTCCTGACTGAATCAACAAACTATGAAGAACAAATAGTCACTTTACGCCAAAAACCCAACACGAGAACTTGTTCTGGTACATTTGAGTCCGTTTATCGTTTTGTTCGTCTTCGTAATATTTTTAAAGAAAGTCTCGACTTGAACATGTAAGCACGACCGTTTCATGGAGCTGATTTAGTTTGATGATGTCACCTTTACAATTATACAACATCGCCTTAAGACAACATGATATTTCACTGAAATCCCTTCATAAAATGACACGTAGCGGCCACTAAAGTTCTTCACAGAAATCACATCCGATCGGTCGTTGTTGTTTTGCAGTGATTTGTGTCGTTCCTGCTGCATCAAGTTAAAGTTTAGCTTCTGTCTGAAAGTTTATGAAGCGTTCACTCCATGATCCATTTTTGTTCCGTACGTTTTTCAGCGCGATTCTCGTCCCACCGTTTTTAATCCATTTCAACAAATCATGAAGCAAAGCGTTCGGCTCTTTCAGGACAATCCTGCTGTGACTTCTGGTGTCGGTGCAGCTTTAGCTTTTTGAAATATTTAGCCTTTTCTGATATATATTTTTTCCTCATAGAAAATGAAATGAGCTCATTTTACATCCTTCAATCTTTAGATGCGTTTACAACCTTTTACTGCTCCTTTCACATTTTGTTCAGCTTCAGCTTCTTTCAGCTTCCTGCTGCAAATTTAAACATTTTTTTCAGCTACTTTCAGCTGTTTTGTGCTTCTTTCAGATTCTCTGCCAACTACAAATTTTTTGTGCTTCTTCTAACTTCTTTCTGCTAACGTTAGCTTGTTATGCTTCATTCAGCCATTTCTGCAATTTCAGCTCTTTCTGCTATTTCAGCTACTATTTAGCTGTTTATGCCAAGTTTTTCAGCTAATTCCACATTTTTTGCACACATTTCAACTTTTCACAGATCATGGATACAAGCAGCCGAAATGAAATGTCTCCGCATGGTGTCTGGGCTCTGAAGCTCGGTCATCCAGGAGGGACTCAGAGTAGAGCCGCTGCTTCTCCACGTGGAGAGGAGCCAGTTGAGGTGGCTCGAGCATCTGGTTAGGATGCCTCCTGGACGCCTCCCTGGTGACGTGTTCCAGACACGTCCCATCCGGAGGAGACCCAGAGGAAGACCCAGGACACGCTGGAGGGACTAGTTTCTCAGCTGGCCTGGGAACACCTTGGGATTCCTCCCGGGGAGCTGGACCAAGGCTGGGGGGGGGGGGGGGGGGGCTTCCTACTTCGGCTGCTACCCCTGTGACCTGACCCCGGATGAGCAGAAGAAAATGGATGGATGGATTTCAACTTTTTTCAGCCTAATTCAGCTAAAATGTGCTCTCTCCACTTCTTTCTGGTAATTTCAGCTTCTTTCTGCTTTTTTTAGCTACTTTTCAGTTGATGTGTTTTCAACTTTGTTCAGATAATTTCAACTTTTTTGCGCTCCTTTCTGCTTCTTTCAGTCTAATTGGGCAAACATGCTCTTTCTTCATTCTTCTGCTAATTTAAGCTTGTTCAACCTTTTCAGCTACCTTTTTAGCGTTTTTAGCTAATTTCAACGGTTTTCAGATACATTCAAGGTTTTCATGCTAATTTCTGCTACTTTCAGCCTAAATAACTTTTTTATGCTCCTTTCTGTTTATTTCTGCTAGTTGCGGCATTTTCTGCTGTTTCAGCTATTATTTATCTGTTTTATACTAATTTTAGCTTTTTCAGCTAATTGCACATTTTTTAACTAATTCCAGCTCTTCTGCTTCCATCTTGTAGTTTGTTTCTTTCTGCCTTTTCAGGTACTTAGCTATTTTTCTTCCTAATTTTAGCTTTTTAGCTAATGTCCTAATTTTTGTGCTCGTTCCTGCTTAATCTTAATTCAGCAAATATGTGTTCTTTCGGCTTTCTTCTGCTGATTGAGACTTGCTTTTCCTTTTCAGCTATATTTCAGCCTGTTTTTTAATTTTTTAATCCGTGTTAAAGCTGAATTTTTAGCAATAAATCAGATAAAGATTAATAATGAAAACTTGAATTTAATTCTCAGAAGTGTCATTATTTATGAAGCTTCGACTCAAAACATGGTGGTGAAAAAATGACAAATTTAAGCGTTTTCTTTCAAATGAATATGGATTTATATCACTGTTAGATGTGTAAAAAGCCTCGGCGTGACCCGCCTCTGATCCCGGTTCTGTTTCCAACTGTTCTAACGCGTCTTAGAGGATTCGGAGCGAGCAGCCGCAGCTCGGCGGTGACGGAGGCTGCAGAAGGATTCTTCGTGCACGCATCATCATTAAGGGACCTGCAGCTAACAACACTTTACAGGAAGTAAACATCCGGCTTCGTCCGAAAGCTGAACGTTTCCCCTCCTCCTTTTTCCATAATCTAAAAAAAAACATTGTTTATCATCAGGAATTATTTTTACATTTTTTTATTTACTGACATAATCATGTGATAATGCATCATTTTCTTTAAAAGCCTGAGCTGAAGCACATCTGGCTTCAAACTGCAACTATTGAGGCACTTATTTATCTGCTGTAAGACGAGACTTCTTTATTCTGCATTCGTTGTCTGTATTTAATTCAACGATAAGAATATGAGTGAGGAGACACGACGCACGCTGAAGAAACAGACGCTACGAGCAACAATCTGAACAAAAACACGTTATTTACTCTTTTTTTTTTGCCCTATAGGTGAAGATAATGCGTGTCTGTAACACAAACATCCTGTGAAGCGCGTGCACGTGCACATATACGCATTAGAGGACGTGTGCGAGTGTGTTCGTGATTGCATTCGGTGTGTGGATGTGTGTGCTCCAGGAGTTGAGGTCCACTGGGGCTCCGCATGAATAATGCATGAGAGCGAGGCTGCTGCATCTCAGCAGCGTTGGCTCGGCCTCTGCTCAAAGTTCCTCTTTAGAGAAGTCAGCATCGTTCTGCAGGCGGCTGCTGGGGCTCAGCTGGAGCCGGCCTGCAAAACGGTTCCAACATTATTGGAGAAAAACTCCAATATTCACTTGGAGCGTCTGCGTCTCAAGAAAATGGGATTTTAGTGTCAATATTTCAAACTGCACGATCATTTTTATATAAATTATGAAGGTGACCTGCTAACTGTCCAGGTTCGGACCCACTGAGCAACCGTCATGAGAAGAGTACAAATGTTAAGAAGGCAGGAAACAAGAACTACGTTTAACCATTTAAGACTCTTATTTTGATTTCTTGTGACTTTCCCCTCAAGAATCATAAAATTAAAAAACATTTTTAATTTGACTTGTGAACATCCGACGTGTCCAACTCGGCTGCAAGAGGAGGCCGATATTCAAAACTTGGTCCGAGTCACGGGACCATGTCAGACGATCCCGACACATTTTGATGGTTCCAGCATCATCAACAAGAGTTTGATCAGTCCTCTTCTTCCCATCAAAATCCAAGATTATGGAATAATCCAACCTTTTTCTGGCTGACAAGAAAAATCTGCACCAAATGAACTATCAGGGTGTTGTTTTAAAGTAAAATGAGAAGAAATAAAATATCTTGGGGGGCCAGATAAAACGTTAACACGGACCAGATTTGGCCCGAGAGCCGTGGTGTAGAACATCTCGCTCTTTCATGACTTTAAGAACCAATGCACTTATTGATTAGACACAGTTTGATAAGGATGATGTGGTTAAAATCACTCACGTTACCGTGAACATCTACAGAGCATCTTCAAGTTTTGGACGAGTCACAAAACTGTTGCTGAGGGACGTTTGGGAAGAAGAAGGACAAACTTTTCATTTGTTCTTGTTCCTCAAGCTTCTACAGAAGCTGGAAAAATTGCCTGGATGTGCCAAAAATAGCCCAAACAGTTGATGACACGTGATACGTTTTGTTTTTATTCCATGGCATGGACCGATGTGTCGAATGAAGGTTAATAATCATCCGAAGCACGATGAAAGAGCCAAATGTTAAAACCTGTAGCCTAATCCAGATTGTTGAAATTAGCCAGAACAAGCGTTCCTGTGCTCGTCGCTCTCGTTCCGAGCAGAACTTGACAGTCAGATGAACTTTTTAGCTGCAGGTTTGTGATGACGGAGCAGCTGCTGAAGACAGATGCTCGCCATGCAGAGGGATCAGTGAAGGTTCGGGCTGGATGACACTGAACGCCACACACGTTTACAGCAACGACTTCGAGCATCTGCACACCGACATGAAATTAATGCATCCCCCTGCAATCACAAACTCACAGTCAGGAGCACTTTCAGTGAGGACGTTTCATTTAGCGGAGGATGAATCATGAACCTCTGGAAACTGTTTCCTGTCAGAGGAGAAACTCTGACTTCTTGTTTTAGACAAAGACACCATGGGAATGAAAGATTATCAAGTTGCACTGAGAAGGTTCATGTGGTGAATAAAGGTGATGCCTTCACGTTCAGGTGGCTCACAGGTGACACCTGGTTAATTGGACACGTGAACGCATCTGAAACAGTGAAGTGACTTGAGGAGCTCCACTTTCCCGCAGGAATGTTTGGTACTTTGGCACCGAACCTCCTGCCTGACGGACCTGGTGTCCCCCTCCAGCTCCTGCACCCCCTCCCTCCCTCCCTCCTAACCCGGACTGGACCCTCCTAACTCGACTCAGAAACAGGCGCGTGCTAGGCGCCGGCTCCGTCCGGGCCGGTCGCGCGGGGCTCACCTCCGTGCGCGCCTGCAGCCGCTTGTTCATCTCGTAGATCCGGTACTCCGGCTGGACCATGTAGGGCGAGTGTCTCCTGTAGAAAGGTCCGAACGGAGAGGAGTAGAACGGGTCGTGGGTTGGGTTGGACATGGTGCTGCTGCTGGGGCTCGTGGAGAGGCGCGCGGCGCGAGATCAACATCCAGCGGGCACGGCGGCGCACATGGGAGCGAAGGACCCCCCCTCCCGGGCTGAAGCACCGCTGTCGAGGCTGAGCCGCACTCTGCCACTTGGCCTGCCTGCCTCGCTGCTATGAGGAGGAGGAGGAGGAGGAGGGAGGAGGAGGACAGGGATGGGGAGGAGGGGGAAGAGCGGGGGGGGGGGGGGGCTGGTTTCCTGTTCCCTCGACTAGCGTGCACTCTGTTGCAAAGTTCAGCTGCGTCTGAGTTTCTGCTCCACTGCAAAGTCACCAAGACAGAGTAATAATAATAATAATAATAATAATAATAATAATAATAATTTAGGAAATATTTATCATATAATGGTGTATATTTCCATAATGTCCTTAATAAAAAAAATAAAATAAAAAAAACTTTTGTTGGTTAAATCTGTGGACATCACGAGCTGAATAAACTAAAAACATGTATTGTATCCTGGGGTGATAAAAAACATTAAATATCTCTGTTGGGAATAATTATTGTAAAATTTGTATGAGTTACATTTTTATTATTTATTTTATTGTTCTCTATTAATCCCCAAAGGGGAAAGTAATGCCCTGCATTTTTCCCTATAGCGTCTATGGTGGTGGTGGTGTGTGTGTGTGTGTGTGTGTGTGTGTGTGTGTGTGTGGGGGGGGGGGAGCTCAGGGGTGGGGGTGGGTGGGTGGAGTTAAGGACCTTGCTCATGAGCCCTAAGTGGGGTGAGGGTGGAGGCAGGTTTGGGTGCTTCACCTTTTCCACCCACATTTTGATAGTGTTGGTCCAGGGATTTGAACCAGCGACCCTCCGATCGCCGGCCCGCCCTCTCTAACCTCTGCACCACCACTCCCCCATTTTTTTTAAATTTATTTTAATATCTTATTGAATTGTTCTTAATTAAAGTGAATTAATCTTGAACAATATGTCTTGAGTCTCTGAAATGTTGCTTAGAGGTGTTGAAACTTTCGCTTCTGTAAAATAAATAAAAATATAAGTGTGTGAGGAACCATCCTGATGATGTTAGTGTGTGAGGAACCATC